CTCTCATCGCTCTTCAGGTCCCTCCTCCTCCTCTGCACATCACCCCACCAGCCTATGCACTCATTACCTAAATCTGGTTCTCACTGGAATTACACGGACCACTGTTATGTTTTAGGTACATAGAACTGTACAAAGAAGAAAAACATCCAGTCGTGGCATGAGCATAAACACGTGTTCGGATCTGCACCTCCATATTTACATCACAAAGGGGTAGAACAATGCTCCTCTGTTAGCCGCTGTGTGTCCAATGTGTATGGCTTCACACAAAAAATGCTTCCAAAACATGACAACAAAATTATGTAAGAAAGAGGCTTTGCTTTTTCACTGTTAAGATATCCTGTTTACATACGGTTGCATACATGAACAAAAGGAATTGTAGCATTATTACTAAAATGCAAAAAACATTCAGCAATAATGGTTCACAATAGATCCAAGTTCTTCACCCAAATGTTTTGTAGATAAAAGCAATGCCACGATGACCAAAAAACTGTAAAATATGTGGCTTTATTACTAATGTATGAGTGAATTTAATTACAGGTCCTAAAATTACTCATTACGTGACTGTCCGATGTAATAAATAAACAAAAACATGTGTCAACAAAGCATTAAGACACTCCACAACCTTTCACTTGTTCTTCCCTCAAAATAACAACAAAGCTTCCATTGGCCTTTGTTCATTCTATTTGACTAAGGATATACTGCTGTGTACCATGACACTTGTGTGCAGGTGACTTACATGTGCTCCTGGGACAGACAGCGGGTCTGCCCTTGTTCCATGGATTCGTTGGCTCCCATGGTCCTGTTGGTCAGCCCCCCCGGCCCCCCCTGCCTGCTCCTGATGCCCTACCACACACCACATCCACCTGCTTCACCCAAAAATGTCTATGTTTTTCTTCGTTTTCTTATTTTGGTTGGAAGGTTTACTGCTCTGCACTGCGGAGGATGAGACGCCAAGGAGATGTTGCTTGTATCAGGCATTCAGTCCATTAGATGATTAGGAGCCTTCCAATTTATACCACATCCGTCTGTCCCTCTGTTGGTTCCACGCTGATAGTAATAGTCCTCATGCGTGTTACCAGGTAAACCATTCCAACGATGGAGATATCCTTAAATTTTCAAATAAAAACAAGACAATCATCCGATGCAAATTGGCGTTAAAATCTTGCTTCCGCGCACGAGTGAATTGCTCTCGCTGGTCGTTGATAGAGCCACAGCGTGTTGCTGCTCAGACTCCTCCTCCCCCCTTGTACTCTCTCTCTCCCCCCATACCAGCCCCCTGCCCCTTTAAAAAGACACGCAGCTATTTCTATTACAACAGAGCAGAGCACCCACACAATGGCAGACCCCAAAACCTCTGTTCCAAGCCTCGTCCGTGCTTGCATTAAGATTAACTGTGTTTTAGCTGCATGAAGATGTCTTCCTTTTCAGCCAATGAAAGCTCCCATTTTCAGTACAACCAACCAGAGTGAAGCTTCATGTAAACAATAGGATTTAAGTCAAGGATGCGTGTAGTGTTTTCAACACAGTGACCTTGATAACAAAAGGTAACAAAACAGTTGGTAGTAATAGATATATCTTGACCAAAATGTATAAATTTCAACTTTTATTTTATTTCACTACCTTTTTCACTACCTACTCTTGTTTACCTTTGAAAAAACAAGAGTGGCATTACAAAACCAATGTCTAATATTCTACATACATTCTTATATAGCTACATACATTCTTACATAGGTACGTACTAAAATTGTAGGTAAAATGACTGGACAGATGGCAGACTAGCTGATCTGATTTACTGGCACTCAAGCCAAATTGGATATTGCATTATCATAGATGCTGAGATTTTCCATCATCCGAGGCAAGGAACAGGATCACCTAAAATCCCATTTTCTGACAAAAGGTATAGTAGATATCTGAAATCTGATAGAACACATCTATTGTCCAATTCCTGGGAAAGTGTGAGGAATGAGGACTCACAACAAAAGAAATCCAAGCCTGTGGCACTTCTAACTTCACATCCTGGTTTAGAACAGGTTTCAAGTGTCTTATCTGGGGCTAAACATCAATCTAGAAATACAGTAACATGGGACTACATGTTAGGGCTGCAAGACTAAATTAATAATTTAACAAAAATTAGCCACTGATAGATATAAAAAAAAAATATGAACAACTGATAACAGGTATCACATTACAATTAAATAACAAAGGCTGTAGTTCAGCTTTTTTTTTTTTTTTATTCTCTACAGTACACTATAAATATCCCTGTGTCCATTCTTCCCTGAAGCTTCTACAAATAGCAAACCCAATCACAATTGCAATACTTGTCAGACACACTGTTCAGAACTACTTTATTTGCATGTAGAATAAACATGAACCCTGTTGGACCCATGTAGAAAATGAAGGGGGTAAAAATCAATGTTGTAGAGCCCGAGGGGACAAGTAAAGCACTGCCCACTACCACAGCAATCTGCACAAGCAAAAATATTGATTGTACTAGACCCCATAGCAACAGCTGCTTCAGTATGATACAAGTAGATACAAGAAAATTAGAGTAATATTAATAGATTTTCTTTTTTATTTATTGAATAGAATGATTGTCATGTGTTGTTAAAGTAATTTAATGATCAACAGTGATCAACATTTTCATTCTGCACTCTTCTCTCTTCTCTAAATTAATTTTCTAATGATTATTTTTGTTGTTATTTGCTGTTATTGAGAATGGGGATGAGTGCGGTTGCCCAAGAAAAAAGAGTTGTGGTTAGAAATTACTACTTTGTTACTACATTATTACTTTGCGTATGAATTAATCTGGTCAGGTGAACTTGCATTACATCGATGGCAAAAGTAAACAAAATTGTGCTGATCTGTTGGAGTGTGGACTTGGACTTGAGCTCCACTTTCTCAAATAAAAAATTCAACGCTCTGAAGCAGTAGAAGATGTGTCTGCGGCAGCTATTTCTGAAAGATTCATAGGCACTCAACCTGAATCAGGGTCAGCACAACTCGCACACTCACCACACACAGGGCTACAGGCAGAGGAGAGGAAAAGTGAAAGTAAATATATAAAGTCTATCCTACAGATATATTATGATATTTAAATATAGGTACTTTATAATAGTCTTACACTGCATTAAATTTAAATTGTGATATTGTGATTGACCACCCTTACTGGAATCTAAAAAGTTTATTATAGATGAAAGGGAATGTAGCCTCATCACATCTTTATTTGCCTAATTTGATTTGCTGTAGCTTTGTTCTCTACATATTTATAATAAATCTGCATTAGTCTGACTTGCATCCCTTTTCTAAATGTCTTTTCCCATCAATGCCAGACGAGTTAGTGGTGAAATCAGAGCGCCTCAAAGGGAGATCACTGGATCTGCAGCCTTAGGCGGTCATTGATAATATCTGTATGGCACATGTGTTGTGACCACATGAAAAACCAGGCTTGACACATCTCCAGGCTCTGACATGGTGTTTCACACTGGCACTCTGCTACTGATAGCGATTTAATGAGCTGAGAGATTAAGCTAAATTTCTTCAAAATTTTTTTAATGGGGTTTGTAGGAAAGTTAAGAATTAGGAAGAGGCTGTTGCCAAAAGAAACATCAGAACAGAACAGCATATGAATAAAGCTAATTGGTGTATTGATTTTATATTGTTTTCTTCAATACACATAAAAAATGTTCAAAGGTTAAGTTGAAATAAAATTGAAATAGGTCAATTTTTTAATCTCTTTGGGTTAAAAATATATCTGCATCATATTTAAAATTCAATAGATGCTGCCTTCTGTGTAATCATTTTCTCCTTGTAGTCAGGTAGGTAGACAGTGTTTTGATAAAGCTCCCTCTGCTGGACTAAAGTATCATAACATAGAAAGGGGCTGAGTCACTCTCTTTCCAAATTATGATATCAATCAAATCACATAAAATAAAACAGTCCAGCTGAATGTTTTAAATCAAACAAGTACTGAATCTCTTCCAAATGAAAAAAACAGAGACACAATTTAATGTCAGTGTCAATGCAATCTGGAGGAGTTCTATTACTAAAATCACAAAATGAACCATAAATCTGTTTTAGTCAACCCTAACTCAGCAAGTAAATCCATTGCTTCTTCTAACCACCAGCTAACCACAGCTCTATCACAAACTATAGCACATTTAAACTAATTGAATTTCCATAACCACCAAATTCAGACATGGGCAAATCCTCTTTCCTTTGACTTCATGTGGGGAAGCCCAGGGCAATAATAATATGTCATTTAATTTCATAATATCAAAATTACAGAGGAGGCTGACATGGCACAGGGTAGTAGTGCATTGCAGTGTATGTAACCTCTCTTTGCTCTCTATAAACTAGACAAAAATCAAAAGCAAATATTTCTCAAGTAATTTCACAACATTATGAACATGATTATCTGGCAAACAAACAAACTACCCAACTAATTGTGGGGTAGTATTGCAGTTTACTGTTTTCTAACATTCAGTTGGTTGAATCAACATTTTTTGTTAAGCCTTGTAAGTACGGCATCTGCGGTTGTGATTTTGGGCTACACAAAAAATTAAAAGCATATGAAAAAAACACCAATGTATTACTAACAAAAGTTTGTGGAATAGTCCTTGGTATATTTACCCTACTGCACCAGATGTCAGTTTGAGGCCTTGGTTTGACCTGGTATGGCATTGAGAGGATAAGGACAAGTCATCAAGTAGGCTAAAGGGGCAAGTGTGTTTCTAGGTAAATCTACTGTAAGAACTGTAGTGAGCAAGAGGCTAAAGAGCAAATCATGAAAACACACCACAAAAGATACAGAGAGACAATTAGCATAATGGGTATGATAACAAATACTGAATTCAGGATAGGGTATACTTTAGTTCAAGGGCTAAAAAATACTCAGGTTACTGAATTACAGGGCCCTAAATTGTTCTGGTTGAAGAAAGTTGCATTCCTTTGCCAACGTACCAACCAATGCTTGTTTATTATTATAAACTATAGGAGCATACCTTAAATTATGATGGAGGGGTACAGCCGGTGGATCTGTGTGCTCGGGGATGTGTTCAAGGTCTGAAGGAGGTGGAGGAAATTGGGGCGACGCAGGAGCGGCCTCAGGTGATTGTGTCTTCGGGGGTGTGGGAGGAGGAGTGGGGAAGTCTGACGGAGAGGGAGGAGCAGGTGCAGGAGGGGAGGGAGGTGCAGGGGGGACACCAAAGGAACAAGCACTGGTCTCTGTGTGGGATGACCTGCAAGAAGGACAACACAAAACATCAACTCAACTGTAAGGAAATTAAGGGGTTGGGGTTACACAGCGTACTTCTACAGCAATTTCATGGTCATTCAATTGACCAATCACTGTGGTTGGTGGACATAATTAAAAATATATTTGTAGTACCTGATGTGATGAAATCAATTAATAACATTTTAACCATGTCCTGAACACATTAACCTTTAATCGCACATTAAGCACATTTCTTATCTTTTCATATCAAGTGTTGTCAAATTTTATCTAGACACTGAACACTGTGTTTGCATAATCTAATTTACAGCTCAATAGAGATGCACTTTAGAGGTATGAAACAGATACTGTAAATGATACTCACTTAAACTGGTAAAAAGGAGCTGGTTTGTACTGCTTTGTCTAAACTTAATCTTAAAAGTGACTAAAACAGTAATACCAGCTCCTAAGAGTACAACTATAACTCTATTTGAACTCAGATTTGTAACGTCAAACTTCCTCAGCTCTTTCAGGTAGGTCCATGTCTCTCAGGTTCCCCTCAGTAAGTCATGTGCAGGAGATAAACTACTGTTTGCTGGGCCTGTCTCTGAGATCACTGGACACCTGGTGGAGTGGATTTGGCCTTGATCCAGGTCAGACTTATCTGGAGTGGAGCAGTCTCTAATCTGACAGGCTACGCGACAAACGCCTATGCAGCTGTTCACCACTTGGGGCATTCCTCCTGTTAAATTCTAAAAATAGCTCTATGGAGTTTCTTTCTCTGCATCGTAGGTTTTAACAACAGTCTACCTCTGCTCTCAGTTAACTTTGAACATGTTTCTACAACAAAGACTTCTGTAGGACTGACAGATACGGCAACAAAATTAATCGAGATTATTTCCTCCGTATTTATCAATCATGATTTGGATCTTTTTTATTATCATTATGATACATCCAGAAGTAAAAATAATAAAAAAAATTCATTAATATAACATTAATTTCCTAAAGATTAAAGAGACAAACTTTGAATCAGAGAAGATTTATTCAATTTATTCTATCAAAGTTTTATCTTAGCTGCAAACCACATGCTTTTACAGACAGTGAAGACCCTTCATCTTAAATTCCCCAAAATTATTATTTAAACAATCTGATCACAATTTGGTTAGAATTCAGTTCCTTGCACAGACCTAAACTTTTGTATGTAAAAAAAAAAAGCAACTAACATATTTACTGTTCAGAGAGTTATTAGTTTTTCTTTTTAAGTATTTCTTGATAAATCCATGAGGTGGACACTTATACTCAAGATGCTATATGAAAAATAAAGACCAACAACTGAAATAAAATAAAATAAAATAAGAACAATTATGTTAAATAAAAAATTTCTTTCGCAAATATTTTGTCTCAATTGTACTCTACTCTTTTGTTTTCAAACTTATCACAGAAAGACATATAGCTTCCCTATAACCTCTGAGACCAAACATGACCCATACTAAACATCCTGTCCACTTGGCACTTTGCAAATACCTCATTACTTTAGTGAAACTGAACTCTGTTATCCTCCATTGCTGCCTGCAGTAAAGTAGAACTTAATAGCATTTAATAAGTTTGGGTGCTTTTCTTAAGGGCGTAGCAAGTTTAAAGTTTAAATCCTAGGCACACTCTGGTTCATATCACTCCCTCAAAAACACCTTTAAACCATAAAGAAGTGTATAATTGATACAGCATGTGTGAAGAATTTGTCCACAGTTTGTTCTCTCTATTCCACTACAGCTAACCTATGGCCTACATCAACCATCCTAGACCAGCATCTGTGCACACGTTCGCATATGCAGCCTGGAAATAGAACGAGCCAAGTCACAACAAAGTGTCATAGGGCTTAACATAGAAGCGGACAGATTATCAATATATTGTTAAGATCTTGAATGCTGTTTTGAAGATATGTTAAGTAGGAATATTGAGTATATAGTTTATAATAAAAAATGCTGCAAAAAGAGTTGATTCAAAAAAGAAAAAGAAAATATGCTGTTGTTAACTTCCATATAAGGGTATGAAGTGATATCTCCGCACTTCAGTGGATAATTTCACAGTAATTTCACATTTGTTTACTACATAAACTTTAGTTAATTTATGTTTTATACCCATTCAGAGAGATCAACATTAAATTGTCTGAGTTATTATTATCTGGATGCTCCAAAAATTGTCAATATATCCTACCCGTAGCTTAACACCGTCTCCAAAAATGGCTGTTATAAAAGACACATTGTGGTGAGCCTAAATTTACTGGTTCAACGCAGGCCATGTGAAACTCAGGTTAACAGCTGCTCTCTTCTGTGTTAGGAACATGTGCAAGTTTTCAGAACACCTCTTACATAAATATACTGTTGGCTACAGCACCTGGAGGCTATAGCTTCCTGTAAACACATTGTACAGTAATGACAAAATGCACTATCTTTCATATTTTAAATGAGATCATAACGTCAGTCTTTACACTTCATTTTCCGTGACTGATCGGTAAGTAAACTTAAGTGACGATTTGTATATTGTACTCAAGCCAGTGCGGACACTTGCATAGTAATATATTAAAAACAGCTGTGTATGAGAAGACAGTGCACTACATGTGGAGAGCTAAATGATAAACAGCACTGACTAAATGAAACCAGATGACCTTAAAGTGTTATGGGAATGATTGTAAGTTCACACTGTCCGAAAGCATAAAACCCATTAAATAATATTGTCTACGTAGTGCCAATGCATAAAACATCTAATTCAGGCCTAGTTTATAAATGAATACCAGACGTGGGCTTAGGTACTTGAACAAGCAGAGGTGATTTCCAATGGCAACTTGTCTATTTACAGAAAGAGGCAGTACCTCCCACCTCTGTCTAAAATTATTGAAGTGGAAATATCAAGCAAAATGTGTCATAATAAGATACTTTGCAGCTCATGTCATCAACATTCTCTGGGTTTGCGAACTGGAGGCTCTGCTCTGTCTGAAGATCAGTTTCACAAAATCTGACCAGAAAGAGCTGACTTAGCTAGAACTACAATAGGTGAGATGATTTTGTACTATTAGCTGCTAACAAGTGTCTTACGTATAACATTTTGGTCACAAGCCAGCTATCATTAGCAAACAGTTTTTCAATTAGCCACTCTCAGCTTTTTTGTTGAACATCAAACTCTTAAACGGGACCATTAACCCTCGTATTGACCACAGGATCCCGAAAATGTGTCACCACCATAATTTTTTAACATTCTGCCATAGAGACACATGAACACCCCCAGCATTATGTCACTGCAATCTATCAATAGAAAGCTAAAACTATTACTATATTGTCTCTGATGCCAAGAGAAGTAAATAACAGTTATAACCTGTGCTGTTTTAACTTGTGTTAGAGACAGCTCTTGTCATAATTACTCATCACTCACTGTACAGTAAATCTTTTGCCAACTGACAATGACACTCAGGCAGACACAACATGCTCCAACCTGTAGCATTTTTTGGGATCCATTTTGAAACCTAACTTCTACTTTCCAATCTTGTGTTTTACTTTAAGTACCTCCCCTTTCGCCAGTCTGGTGAGGTCAGCGACAGAGGCAATTAGTTACCTATGACTGTGGGACATCTGTTGTGTCCACCTGGTAGGGCTTGAACCAGAAGTATATAGATGCTAAACAGAACGATAGAAACTTACCTAGCAGTTTTCAGAAAAGCAATCCATTGTCAAACTCAAGAAAGCTTCTTCAAACTCATTTCCTTAGTCTTGTCTTCTGGTCTCTTTAACACCACATGTCCTAAGTGTCCCCCTGAACTGGCTTTTGTTGCTCTGTCTGGCCGGTGGAAATGACTTCAGTGGGGTTGGTTGAGTGCCTGCCCCAAAAATTCCTCCCACTACAAGCTCCACAGCCTCACTTCACAAAGCCGCAACACACTGAGCCTTACTGACAGCTTGGGCCAACCTCCGGGGGTGGGGAAAAAACGCACATGTACAGCAACCACTCACACACACACACAGGCAAATTACAGTGAAGCCAAACTAGCACAGTGCATATTGGTATTTTAGTCTAACTTGAACTGTGTTTTGAGATAGCTACGTCATTGGTCCCCCACAGTAGTGACAGGACAAGTGTTGTGACTGACAGGCAGCAAGTGCTACTGTGGCATGCAGACGGTCCGGAGTATGCAGCACATGTCAGGCCTAAGTGATGAGTGACAAATAAGAGAGATCACAACATTAAAAGATCTAATATTATTCTTATCCATAGATTCTCAAGACAGATCCATGGCAATGGCTTTGATCAGTAAAGTAGAAGACTTAATACTAGGTTAAATCAAAAGTTTTGCTTGATGGTTGTGTGTTGATGCCTAGTTAGAGCTTGGCTATTTTACTCATTTTCATAATTCACAATTTAATTTTGTCTTTTTAAAAACTAATAAAAATGGCTACAAATACATTGCTACGATACAAATACATTCACCATCCACCAAAGTCTGAACTCCAAACCACATGCTTTTATGGACAGAAGACTGGCTGTAGTGTAGACCTCTTGATTAAAAAAGCATAAGCTGATCATTGCCCTTTAGAAATAATTGGATCTCAATCTCAATAAAATATGATTAATTTTACAGACCTATGTCCAGGGAATCAGGATGGTGGATAAATTTGGTACAAAGCCAGTCATCTACTTTGTTTTAATAATGTATTTTGTAAATCATCCTTGAAAAATAAACAAATAAACAATAATGCAACTAGCTGTATAAATGTTGTAAATTATTTACTTCCAAAAGAGGTCTACCTAAACGGTACATGGTTGTTTGAATTATGGAGCAGTTTAACCATGAGGAGTTAACTGCTATTCCATTAGCCAATTCTCATTCATGCATTGGATACTGTAGACACCAACAGTCCACAGACGTGTTTCAAAGCCAAACAAAGCCACCAGACTCCAATATCAAAGGAATAAGGGCTAAAGAGTTCATTTCTATGTTCTCATGTTTTTGGAAATGGGTTCTTGCAACTTATACATTTTAAATAATACTGTATATATATTTTTAGTTCCTTATTTTTGTTTCTTTTTTACCCCTGTGTTAGTTTCATTCTTCAAGGCTCATCTCATCTGTGGCTGTCCCCTGTAATTATCCTGATGATTCCTCCCTTCTGCCTTCTGTTATTTTACTCCACACAACCTACAGCAGCCTCAGAGAGTAAAAAAAAAACATAATATCCAAAATGTTACATTTATGCACCCTACAGATCTTTTTTTTTTAGAATTTACTATAGTTTATCAGTTAATTTCAATGTAAATTTTTCATACATTAGTACAGAATGTTTAAGGTCAAGGAAATTAATATAACACTGTTTATGTTATGTTTATGATGAAAGTGTTGGCAGTCTCATCAATGCACCTACGACTTTAACAACTTTATGAAATTTCACATAATTTTATTACCATTGCACCTATAGAAGTCTCTTTACGGCAGCAACAACTTAAAGCCATAGATATTATTATTGTTCATGCCAAACATTATAATTTTTAAGAGGATTAGAAACAAAACATACAACTCACCCACTGTTCTGCAGCTCAGCGGGACCCTGTGGCTCATTCAGTGGTTGGCTATCCAAATGTTTTTCCAAAGACTCCCCTGGCTTCTGCTCTGTGCGTGTGGTTGGGGCCTGGACTACAGGGTCTGGTCGAGTCTGGTCTTCTTCATTTTTGACATTTGGGACATCAACTTTTGGCAGCTCTTCAGTCGTCACTTGTTCAATAGGCAACTGTGGCTCTCTTGACACTGGCACTTTATGAGTATCCTCTTTCTTGATTGGTCCAACCTCCACTGGGTCGGGAAGGTCAATACTTAGCTTCTTTTTAAGTAATGCAATGTATTCTTTTGGTTTTGATAGATCAGCGATAGCATTACTGGCATCTGATTTCTCTGAAGGTAAAATTTGTGATTCCTCCTGTGTTTGGAGGGTTGGTGTGTCCCCAGTTGGAGTATGGAAGTCTTGCAGAGGAGAATCCAGAGATGGGAGGGGCCTAAAGAGAAGACAATACAGGAGAAGAGAAGAAGAGGGGGTGGTTAGGGATTAGCTGCAAGACTGGAGGACAAATGACAATTGTGCTTGTGTACAGTGAACTTTGAGGCTGTATTGTTTGGCTTTGTGCATTGTGGTAGAGGAGATCAGGGCCGATGGTCACAGCTGATGTCATCCTTTTAGAATAAAGGACTGGTACGTATGAGTGGACCTAACACATTGCAATGCTTGGTAACTATGCAAGCATGTGTTCATCTCATTAAATCCTATAATAGACCGCGGTTTTATGACACACTTTTTAACATTAAACATACAAAAAAGGGAAATTTGTGAAGATACAAATACCCACTGTAGATTACTGAAGCTAAACTTGAAATACACTGGATAAAGATGAACAAAATACAAACCCTCGGGTAAAAGTTAACTAAAGTTGTAATACTAAAATTGTTACAGTAATTTCTTCTTAGTCCTGTAACCTAAAATAGCTATGTGTTGTCACAATACTAACATTTCAAACTCAAATTCGATACAAGTAAATAGACTTGATGCTCAATACCAATACCACGATAATAAAACCACTCTTTATTTAGACAGTTGATGTGACTTTTTTAGTATCAGTACTTGTTCAAATGACTATCTAGTTTCAATTCTAGTTTTAGTATCAATTAGTATCTGATTTTCAATAAGTGATATAACCATCTGTACAACATGAATACTATGAAAAGGAGCTTCTTCAACATATGCAAATCAAAAATAGTAATTCTTATAATGAGTCAACAGTGACCGTGAGTAAAATGAACTTGTTACTGCGGAAAACTAAACACATTTGGAAACTCAAAGCATGTGCCTCTCAGAGTGTGATGTAATTGAACAGCTGATATGTGACAGCATCTTAACAAGCAACTTTGTGTAACCTATTAGAGGAGGGCAAGGGGGGTGTGGTCATATTCTAAGCCTTTATTAAGTCAATGTAAACGCACACATTCATTCAGCCAATGTCTAATGTCCCGCTTTGAGGCATCTCTTTTATACTATTCACTAAGGCACTACCCATACTTCAATCATCTTTTATATTACAACATAAAAAAGTACTAGTCATGCAAAGGAAACTGGTATTTACCTTGTCGTCTCTTGTTCAGACTGTGTAGCCGCCTCTCTTAGAGCCCTGATCCAGCTCATTGTATCCATTTGTAATGCGTCAGATGCTTGTTTATTTTCATTCACTTGGATGCAAGGAGAGGGTTTTTGAGGTGATTTATTTTCAAATTCACTCACCACAACCTCACCACTGTGTTTTGAACATGTTGCGTCATCTTTTGGTTCTTCTGGCATACTTAAAGACATATTGTTATTGACATTTGATGGTATTATGTGACTAGTTATTTGATATGCTGCGTCATTGTCCTGTTCAGTCTTCGATCTTTCACTTATGACTTCTATTGATTCCTTCTGTTTAGAGTCTGTCAGATTTACAACCTCTTTAGCTTCATTGTTAGCGACCTCACTCATCTCTTTCCCATGGTTGCTAGGTGTATCCCCACTCAAAGGCCCCTCTATTATAGCCGCTACTTGGCAACTTTGTATGGCAGCAGTTTTATTGGGCAGCATTGTATCTTCAAATCTACATTCCTCGGTTGTACTATTTTTACTCAAAGACTCATTGGCGCTTTCTGGTTGCGTAACAAAATCAGTGAATATTTTTCCACGAATCTCCTCGGCCTGCTTTGGTTCACTGTCTGTTAGGATGTCACGGCTCTTGGCGTAAACCAGCAATGTATCATGTTCTTGCGATGCAGCCGGGACAGTAGCGCCACTGTTCCCCAAAGGCTCCTGTTGGTTTTGACAAAGAGATGACAAATTATGGTTTCCTTGGCCTTTTCCGCCTAGATCGCATGCAAAGTCGCTGTCTGGTGGTGAACTTGTGTCCATCTTGTCTAGATCTAACCTTTTATTTTCAAATGTCTCCTGTCTTGTGTCCTTTAGATCAGCTTTCATGGGAATTGAATCAAATTCCTCTTTATCAATATATGAATTTGTTGCATTTTGTTCTTGATTGGAAAATTCTTCAGAAGCCTTGTCTATCACTTCTTCCTTGTCTTTGTCAATTTTAGTTTCACCGTTGATTTTTGATAAGCTGTTCATTTCAACATTCTGCTTTTCCTCTTGACCATCTTTGAAAAAGGCAATTTCAAATCCCTCTGAGTTTTGCCCAGATTTAGTCTGCTCCTGTTGCCGAGGCGATAAACATCTGGGAACTGTTGACGCTTCTGATTGGCCTAAATTATCCAAACCTCCATGAATTTCTTCTGCCAAAGGTTCGCTAATGAACTCAGCACTTTGCATGGCCTCCAATGACTCAACATAATGAGACAAAGGCCCACTATTAAAGCCATTGCCACTCCCTTTTGTTCCCTCAATAAGTGAATCTTCTTTACGAGGTAGCTGCTGGTTTCCAATGTTCCCCGGAGGCTCTTTATCTAACTCATTACTCCCATGCAGTGCTGTGTCGACTTTTCCCATTTCCAACTTGCCGCAGTCCATCCCTTCTTTTACATTAACAAGAATAGGTGGATGTTTAATTTCTTCTTCGGGTATAATAAAAGTCATTGTATTTTTTTCTTCCGCCTTAATATTGTCATTAATTTTATCAGATAATTTAGACATAGTCATGTTTTCTTCCTTTATGGGCAATTCAGAAATGGCTGGTTCACTGGAAACTTTGTCCAACGCATTATCAGGTTTATCATTACATATTAAGGCATTCTCAGCATTCTCTATAGTATTGCTATTTGGATCAAAAGATGTATCAGTTTCTCTAGTGCTGTCTTTTGGGTCTATATTGTTTACATTGCCACCACTGTTGTCCAAATCCCGCACTAAAGGCAATATGGTCACTTCCTCTTCTTGGTTAGCATTCATGTCTCCAGAGCATTTAGCATTGTTAGCATTATCTGTGATCTGCTCAGGCGAAGACCCATCAGATTCATTAATTGACTCTAAGTGACTCACAGCTGGACCAATAGGCTGGGATGCATAACTAATGGTGCCTTGTTTACTGGAAGATATTGATGATAGGACAATGACTGCGTCAGAATTAGATAATGAAGTTTGGAGATCATTGCATTTTATAGTTGGCTCAGTCTCATTGCAAAAATTGTCCATGTTTGAAGTTATTTGTTCAGAAACAAGAGATGTTTTTGTTGAAATTTCAATGATATTTGTAGGCCCTGTGTCAGAAAGTACATTTGTGTTGAGATTAGGACCAACGGGCAAATCACAAACAACATTTAAATGTATCGTGTCTTCAGCAATCTCTGAACTTGACAACAATATTTCTTTCTCATTTCCCATTAAACTCTGGTTTTCATGTTGTGTTGTTTCAAATAATTCTTTAGTTTTAAGTGTATCTTTTTCCTTTGATACAGAGTTATTTTCAGCAATTTTTTCAACTACATTTGGTAACACCAGTCGCACTCCTTCACAATTGGCATTTTCCCCAGCTTTTACTGTATTCACAGTTTCTTCACTCTCTTCTTTTTGTTCTAGAAGCAACTCAGTACTGGACACAGGTATTACAATTCACATTCTCAGGGGTAACATTATTTGGTGAAATTATGCCTTTAGCAGCAACTCCTTCAACTTCGTCTACTACTTTTTGAGGTGAGCTCTGATTTTCCTCATTATCCTTAGCAACAGCTTTATCTTCTGGGATTTCTGTTTTAATTGAGTTTAGGAAGCCTTGGAAAACGTAGCTGGCCTCAATAACTGGGTGGTGCAAACTCTCATGCACAGTTATGGGAGGTAGAGAAGCAGATCCCAGTACAGTGTCTCCTGCTGGCATTGTATCCTCTTTAACTGAATCTGCAAAGTGAACTCGATTCTTGTGTACAGTAGTAGGACATGCATTCATATCCACCTCAGGTATTGCACTGGTCACAGAATTACTCTGGCTCTGTGATTCATTACTGCTACTTTCTACTTGGACCTGTTGATTATTATCCAATGGTATTTTTTGTATACAAGTTAAAGGTGGGAAGACTTGATTGTTGTACTCACATCCCAAAACTTCCTCTGAATCCAAATTTTGTCCATGTATATTGCTGCTTTGTCCGGTCAAAACAGGTGAAGTTGTTCCGCCATCCTTCTCGGAACAGGGGAGAGAGAGAGAATCCAAATCGACACAAATGCTTTCAATGATGGTTGCTCTCAGTTCCCTTCGGTGCTGTGACTCGGCAACATCAGTGGGCGGACACTCTCCCCTCTCAGCTGACGGCACCCCACTAGCAGAGCCTTGTGGTCGGACGAATGAACTGTGCTCCACTCTTTGTTTCTCCGCTACTTCCTCTCCTCCTTCTCTCTTCCCCCCTGCTTTCTCTGTCCTGGCAGCAGGAGCAGCGTCGCAGTTATATTGATAACCTGCAACAGTGAGTCGCCCATGGGTGCTATTATCGACATCTGAGCAGAGTGGTTCCTTGTCTCCGTCTCCCTCTTCAGATGGAGAAATCTCGGCATCTGCATTAAAAGCTGGCACCGCTCTCACGCCACTCTCTGCCAAGTTGTGTGGCATTTCCCCACTGTTGATATTCTCATTTGTTTCCTGTCTGGTAGTCCCAACAAATCCCAAATCGTGTCCACCTTCCTTGCCTGCAAAACAGTCTCCTGCGTTTCCAAACGCGCTCTCAGTTTCAATAGCAACACTCACACCACTTTCTCCCTTTCCTAGCACTTCTGGCATCGTGGGTGTTGTCAACGGCAACGCAGTACCCAGTGCTAAAGCTTTTTCAAGGGCACTATCTACGCAACTCGCTCCCACACAACTACTTTGGTTGTTGGAGAGTAGCCTTGCATCAACCTGACCATGTTGTGGTGATTCATTTGTAACTAAATCCGAAGTATTGATAATGGTTTTCAGATCACATGTCAATATAGCATTTCTGTCTTCAGTTTCCTGTATGTTGACGTGATTCGAACCACATGCATTATCTGTAGAGTTGTTTTTATCTGATTGATTGTCCTTCTCTTTATCTTCTTCTATAGATTCAAGTGAACAGTTGGTAAGATGATCTGCTTGGCTATAAGTGGATGGGAAAAGGGGGTTTGAGACTGGAGCGGGGGTATTTCCATTAAGATTCTGCTGCTTGTTCAAATCAGTGTCATTATTGGATTGTTTATCACCAAACTTGCTACCTGTCAGTAACACATTTCCAATTTCATTTTCCAAATTTGATTCACCCTCTCCATTCCTCACAGGCTTTTTCTTCTTTCGTTGCTTCTTCTTATCTTTTTTCTTTCCTTCTTTCTCTTTCTCCTGTTGGTCATTTTGTGAATTAACCTTCACTTTATCCTCTCCATTATGGCCATCCTCATGCACCCTGGCTTCTGCATCATTATCACTTAAATGGCCAAATGTGCACTTTTCATTAGAATCCTTATCTGTCTTTCTGTTCTCACCTTTAAATCCATTAGAACTATCATCTGGACTATAATTTGTAATATCTGCGGACACTCCAATTTCCTCTGCACCCTTCTCAGCACTGCCACTTTCCTCTAGTTTTGCATCTAACTTAATTTCTTTTTCAGGCAGATTATTGTCAGTGTATCTCTCTTTTTGTCTTTTCTGCAGCTCACTTTTAGTATTGGACCTGTCCTCTTCACTTTGTTTAACTTTCTGTACTTTTCCAGTACCCTTGTCCTCATGTGAATCACAATTATCACTTATATTACATGTTTTATTGTCTTCACTTCCAATTTGAGCTGACTTATTGCTCTCAATTACACATTTATTAGCCCTACTGTGTTCTTGATGATCATTTTTAACGTCTGCAGCAGTGATTACTACTACATCTGTGCCACTCTTTACAGTATTACAATCTGGAGGATACTTCTCTGAATTAGGTTGTTGTTGGAAGGTTTTTAGTAATGCTGTTGAGTTTTCTGTATCTAAATATTTTGTTTCTTTAATAGCATCTTTTTTCTTTGACTTCTTTTTTAAACCACTTTTGGCATTTTTACTTTGTGTGTCTGGAATTGCATTATTTGCCTCAGATAATGCAGTTCTATCAAGTAAATTACTAACATCGCTGTCTTTGTTTACAGCCTCATCTGTCTTTGGGATCCCGACTTCATTAAAACTAGACCTATTCTCTTTATGGTCATGTTTATTATCTGCACTCTCCATCACTGCTGCTGTGCAGTTCTCTGTCTTATTATAGCTTAGAGTGCTATTTTCCAGTTCATCTTTATCACACAAAATAACTTGACTAGGGTTCTCTAATAATACATCAGATTTTATTTCCTCATTTGTCTGCACTTGACCTATTGTTTTTCGCTTATTTTTGTCTTTCTTCTTTGCTTTTTTCCCATGTTTGGCTTGTGCCTCACATTGTGCACTGACTTTAACGTCTATATTATTAAGCTTGTCTTCTTGTGCCTGTACTCCACCCTTCACATCAGATAAAGCACCGTTATCATTTGAATGACCTGTTTTGTCTTCCTCTATAACAGCATCATATTTCTCTGTACTTTTTTCTAAACTAGCCATTGCATCTTGATTATTATTTTGACATTTCGCAATTTCCTCTATAATCTTCTCACCTATAACTGCATCATTACTCGCGAAAGCACTATTTTGCTTAGTTACTGAAAATGAATCTTCTTTGAGTTGAGCTATTTCATTCAAAACACCATCCTTTTCTTCAGCTTCTCTTGCTAGCTGTATTGTTGTATCTTCTTTTGGTTCTTTTATTGTCTTGCTGTCTTGTGCAAGCTTTATTGCAGTCTCTTCCCCAGCTGCACTTCCCAGAATG